AACACAGATGTTTGTGCAGGTTTCACATGCATTGCAAGTAAAAAGTTTGTGAAGATCATTACAATGAGGAATAGATTTTTCCTTTAAATGCTGTAGAGGATAACTGGAGACTTGATTAGCACACAAAGAAAAAGTCTTTGCCTGCCTTACTTAAGGAAGCAAATATTAAACCCATGGGATTACTGTCATATGGTTTGTCTTAGATCATAAAGGAAGAGTTCATGTCTGCATCTGTAGAGATCATTTCAACATAGAGCTTCAGGATTTTTTCTACTTTTTAAATCATTTGATGAAAACCTGAAGGCCTTCCTTTAGTAAGAAACCAGCCTGAAAACCACTTGTCAAACATAACTCTTGAGTGATCCCAACTTCTCCTTTATGTAATGGCATGCAAAAGTAATGTCTATTGTAAAATAAGACCAGTGGTTGTCATGGGTACTGTGAAGTTGTGATGGGGGCACCAAGGCTGCCATGAAATTACCAGGCTTACATATTTTTCCAAGAGATCTACCAGCAGTGAGTTCATTCAGAGCTTCTGAATTCACAGGGTTTTGAAGATCTTGTCAAGTTTCTTCTTTGTATAGTGTTTCCATTCCAAGCTGAGCAGAGCCATTATAAAATACCGTTATGCCAAGCTGTGTAATTAAGATTTGCACTTGCTGTGCCAAACCACCAAAGCAATCAGTGGAATCCCGGGTGTTTGAATGTTTCTGAGTGTTTCTGTTCAGGTACAGAAAGCTGCATCATGTAAAAAGGCAAGACTGGAAGAGGGAACCTTTTTAGAACCAAAGGGTTTGGAATCTTAAAGCTAGCAAATCTGGAAAAGGATCCTGGAAAAAAGAGAGGAGAGACATTTTGCACAGTGTTAGTTGTCATCATTTCCCTGCTGTTCCCCTGCCTCACAGTGTACAGAGCATTCCCCACTCCAGAACAGAGCAGCAGCACATGAGATTCAGGCTGGTCCTTTGTTGAGCTCTCATCTTGGATACTTGATAAGCAATGCTCCTCCCAGATCACATCATCTGGTGTGAAGTCATCTTTTATCAGAGTTCAACAGAAAAAAAATTCAGGAAATGTCTGGAAATAGTCAGCTGTCTCTATATGCAGAACAGATGAGCCCCTCTTGCTGTTCTTTTACCTTCAGAATTTCAAAATCCTCTGACAGGTATTTTATCCTGTGTAGTCACTCTTTTTTTTATGGAGTTTTGTCCCCCCACCTTGCCTCCCTCTAATCCCAGCAGTATTTTCTCTCAAAATTGCTGCTTTGCCACTTTGCACTAATTTTTCTATCTGAACCACATACAAGATCCACGCTTCCCATTATTTTTGGAGCCTGATGGTACCTCAACCTCTTATTTTTTGTTTCTTCCTTAGAAGAGCAGAAAGCAAAGGAATGAGGCTTACTTGTAAGAGATGGTAATATTTATGTTATAAATGTTCCTACAGGAAAAATTAATTGAAATCTCTTTCTGGTTGATTCATAATCTATTAATTTTTCTCAAGGAACATGGTAAAAGTGGTTTCTCTAGAGAAGGGAGGAGGAGTTAAGCTTTGTTGAAGTTCTTCTTTGTTGAAGAACTAAATTTTGTCTTTTATTTTTGCAGCAGAAATTTTAACTGTTTGTCTGAAAGCCACTCATCTCCAAAACAAAATTTTCAATTCAGTTATATAGCAGGATGTTTATAACTTAATCATAAATTGAAGATATAGTAACCCTTGATTGAGGTAGCTATTTTTATGAAAAGGCTGTCTAGAACGTGAGATCAAAACTGGTGCATTATAATACTTCCAGTCTGTGCTAACTAAATGTGTCATAAAACACTTAAATTCCTCCTTTAATATAAACATACTGGAAGTATTGTTATTGGACATGGCTTAAAATTCATTGTTAAATATGCTTCCATAGCAAAAATGACAATTGTATCATGGCAGCCTTTCCATATCATATAAAATAATTCTAATAGCTTCTTCAGAAAACCATTTACAAAAGATCACTGCCCTTTCCAAGTGAAATTTCAGATGGCTCCTCTATACAAACAATCAATTTCCTTGACATTTCAGCTATGTTTGACTTTAGCTTTTCGTCTGGACCCATGACAGCTTATCTTTCCTCTAAATGTCTGCTTCATAAGAGATTACATCTTGGATAAACCTGTTAATTTAGGCAGAGCAGTCCTTTGAAATATGAATAAGAGTTAAAGACTTACCTGATCAGTAAAAAGAGCCTTGAAGCCAAGTTGGATCCAAGTGCCATGTGTGTAGGATGATGTGTATATAAGAAATTGAATTCAGAGCTGGGCTTTGAATTAGATTTTCAAAAGGTCTGAACTGAGTTAAGAGCACTAATGTCATTGAGACTTTTGTTTTTAACTCTTACTGGTGCTTTAAAAATCCTTCTGTCATTGTTCTAGGCCATATATAATACTTGTATTTGAATGCAAATGTGATCAAAATTCAGCTTTTCAGCACAGATGCACTTTCTAAGCTCCTGTGTCTCGGAGCCAGCACTCGTGGAGGAAGGACAAAGGTGCCACAAATGTCCTCATTAGAGAAATATTCTTTTGGTGGGGGGGGGACAAGTACAGAAGCATGATTATAATTTACAGGTGTGCTTTACAGGAGGAGACTAAGCAAAATCATGGAAGGCAATATGAGGCTGATTGGATTTCTGTGCCTCTTCATAGCACTACTTACGTTTGGTGGGCGATCTTTATTCCAAGTACGTACTGGTGTCTTAAAGTCTACCTAAAATAGTGTGTTCAACTCCAGACTGAACTTGGAAAGAGGGGAAGAAAGGAGGGAGCAAAGGGAAGAGGAAAGGGGTGGGGAAGGGGAGAGAGGAGCTTTGGTATAAACAGGCTAGCATAGGAAATAGACTTTCCCCAAAAATGTACTGTCAGTCTGTACATGGAAGTAAAACAAAAAAATAGCAGCCAAACCAAAGAAAAAAGCCACAAACAGGCAGAGAGGAAAGGGACAAGTTTAATGATAGAAGAAAAGTACAGATATTGACAGTGGAAAACAGGTAGAAGGGAGATCTCAAAAGGACTAAAATATTGCTACTTTCCATTTCCAGGTAAATGCAGTATAAATATTTATTGAGTTTTCCATTTGTTTTCCCTCTGAATTTTATATATTTTTTCTGAATTTTAAGGGGGAGATGGACCCCTTGATCATTTTCTTCTAATTCAGTCAGTATCCCAAGCAAAAATTTAAAGGGGAGAGTAGAATTTTGGAGGTCCAAAATTCATAGGAGGGTTTGATTAGAGTTTGAATTCAGCCTGCTTTCTGCATGTGCAACCAAATGCATTCTTCTCATTTTTGATTGCAGTTTGAGTTACCATCGTGGGACCAAACTACAGAGATTTTGTTCATACTTAGGAATGTTTTCTTCATCGAGATAGATGGTTCTACAAACCCTGCTATGATATACAAGGTCTATAATCTGGTCTGTAGCTAGCTGAATGATAGTTTAAACAAATATACCAACAGATTCTGCCACTTTTATTCACAGAGTTATGCTTTAATCTTTAGCTTCACGCCTGGGATGGATTTTGATTCCCTTAGTTGTGAGAAACAGCACCTTGTTTTAGCCGTAGCACCACTGATGCTGATGAAAGCCATGCTAAACTACTCAAATATTCACTCTAGAGTCACTGCAGGATTATACAGTACATTTCAAGACCACAGGTTCTTAAAAGTTCTCCCCAGTAGCAGTATTTCAATCCTTAGCCCCCAGTATGGCAAGCAAAAGACCAGAGTAAAAAGGTTTAAAGTGGGAAGAAGCACTGTAGAGGCCCAAGAGAAAAAAAATAAAAGTGTATAAGAGGCCAGTAGGAAGACATGGTCATAATCATGATTTACTGGTAATTTCTGTGGCACAGAGTTCTCTGGGAGCAAGAATCAGCACTCTACACTACAGGCAGCCCTCCAGTTCTCAGTCAATGTGCTTTCACAAGAAACTAGTTCATTACATTGTAGCTGCAAAACCCAGCTCAGTTCTCTGACTGCTCAATAATTTTGATTTACAGGCTTCTCTCGTACTTGCTGGGTTCAAGGCAAACTCTGGTTAAATATGCCTGCATGTGGGATGTGAAATTTCCCCAAAATGGGAAATTTTAAATAATTTGTCCAGCTGTCTTTCCACCTCTTTTTAGTCTTTATAACACTCCAGCATCTCTTATAGCATGTTCTCTGTGAAATCACAGAGGCAATTCACGATTTTGGATCACAGCTGATCCACATAGCTTACAAGCTAAGCCCCTGGCTGATCAATCAGATTCCTGTGGAAGGACCCTTGAGCCAGGACAGATTCTGAGTGAATTCCATTAATCTCTGTGCAGGCCAAAGGTCTATCCAGTTGTGTTCTGCTAGTGATCAGTCAGAGTCTAACATTTTATCTATTTTATGCTGTGTTAATAATACATATTACTATTAGTTAAGAAGGCACTTCTTAAAAAAAAACCACCAAAGTCCTCTAATCCCTAGGTCATTAGAACACAGTTGGGGAGAGGGACAGGAAGAAAGCTGTTCTCTGTTAATTTGACATACCAGGAACATTGCTCACTGTTTCTATTGTTGTAGTCCTAAAACAAAAACCTAGTGTCCTGCTCACTTCATGCAATGGCACCTCTCCATTTCAGGATGTCATCTCCATAGAGCACCTAATAAAATGCATAAATGTGCTAAAAATTTTAGATCTATTTTGATTCCTTTAAAAAGTTCAAATATTTTGGACCCAGATTTGAGGTGATACATCTGACATTCTTAAGTAAGCTAAGGAATACCACTGGCACACTGTGTGCCAGGTGACCACTGCAAACCAGTGACTGCAAGCAAAATGGACACTAAGTTTCTGCTTAGAAACCAGGTTTACTCTTGAATAACCGATGGCTTCCACACCTGTGCAGTGACGCCAGCTTTCTTGGCAGAAAATTTTGGCCTCGGAGCAGTAAACAAAGAGGACGTGGTGCTTTCTGGCTTAGAGAACGCAGAGTAGCCTGTGGGTGAATAGGATTCATTCCCTGGGAGAGAGGCGTTGGACGGGAACGAAGGCTGGGAGCTGTAGGCTGGCACGGAGTACACCGAAGAGGGCCGGGCCCTGGTAGGAGAGCCAGCACCAGGTGGAAGGTAGGTAGGTAAAGGCAGTGTTTGCTTTGAAGGGGACAGCTTCGATGTCTGCTTCATGGCAAGGCTTTCCTTAGGAGGTTGGAAAGTAAATAAAGACGGATCGAGTTGATAAGGTTGATGTTTCATGATATCCAAAGCATTGAGACCTTTCTTAGGTTTTCTTTTTGTGTTTTTGGTAGCAGCAGGGGCCTTAGAGGAAGGCTTGGTAGCAGCAGGAGGGTAAGACGGGCAGTGGATGGGGTTGTAAGCGACAGGTGGAGGTGCTCGGACATTAGATGAATATTTCCAAGAAGCTGGTAAAGATGGAGTTGGAGATGCAGCTCGTGCCATGTTTGCCTGCACAGTCTCTGAATCCACCACATACTTCTCCATTCGGGAATGCCTCCTGGCAAACAGCTGTGCTCCTTTCCCACTCATAGCTGGTGGCATCTCAAAGGGAGGCTTTGTTTCTCCAGCACTTGGGGTGACTGGTGTTGCCTTGCGGGGAACGTTTGGACTTGCCAGGCTGGTCTGAGGCCCTTTGAAAGGACCAGCAAGGTCGAGAGTGCTTGGGGGATGGACAGGAGAATGAGGATACTGTGGAGATTTGGGTGGTGCAGGATACGCTGCCTGAGGTGAGGCTGGTGCTGGGAAAGAAGGACGCTTGTTGGAAGCTGCAGCTGAAGGTGACCAAACCGGTGAAACTGGAGTACTGGGAGAAGGAGACACCTTGAGTGAAGGCTTTGGAGCAACAGGAGGAGGAGCCTTTTGTTTAGATGCTTGAGTCTGCATGAAATTGCAAGCCTCTGCTCCCAAACTGAGGTAGTCTTCTTCGGGTCCTGACTCAAAACCAGCTCCAGTTCCTTTTTTGCCCTCTGCATTGTGCACAAGGGACAACAGGGCAGGATTAGGACTTACTTTGGGTGCATCTTTGAAATTGAACATAGGTTTGGAAGTGCTTCTTCTCTTTGCCTCCTGCAGTATCCCAGTCCTTTTCGCTGGCACAGCAATCCTTTCATCCCTGGACGCGATGTGTTCCGTGGGCTCGGTGGGTGCCCACGCGGGCGGGGCAGCCTTGCTGGCCACAGGAGCTGAGACAGGTCTGTAGAAAGCCTCAGCTGGTGGGCTGACAGAGCAGTAAGGAGGTGGTGCTGCTGCATCTGAAAGGGGACTGGTGACATTTCTTACAGGTGAAAATGGTGCAGCTGCTCGGTTTTGAACTCCAGAAGGGAAGGGTTTTGCTGTTTTATTCAAAGATGCTGCCTTTTGAGTTCCAGAGGACTGAAAAGAGAGGTTTGTGCCAGGTGCTAAGCCAAAGCCATTTTGTTGTACCACTTTGCTGTGATTCTGGCTCACGTCTGTGTAGCTTTTGCTCACACAGCTCTGCTGTCTTGACATTTCCTCCTCTTTTGATTGATAGGCAGAAGAGCTCACTTTCTGGAAGTTCTCTGTCATGGTGGTTTCCCTGTGCTCCTCTGTCTGCACTGTGCTTGCCTTCATCTCCTCTTGCTCTGCCGTAATCTGATCCATCCTCTGCCGCCTCTTGGCGAACATGAGGGCCCCCTTCCCTGTGCTGTCTGCAAGCGTCTGCATCTCCTCTCCACTCTTTGTCTTCTTTTCCACCTCGAGCAGACCACTGTCCCAGTCGAACGTCACGATCTTGCCGTCCTTGTCAATGTCAGAGAAAAAATCTTCATCTATTTCCGACTCACTCGTTGCAAGCAAACTCACCTCAAAAGTGTTTTCCTTGTCCCCCTCTTCACCTTCACCCTCTTCCTCCTCGTCCTCGTCACGTTCTAACTCCCCAGTCCCGTAGCTGACTAAAGTGTATTTTCTCGCCCTTTGGCGGCGCTTCTTGAACATCAACACCCCCTTGGAATTGGGGTTGGGAGCTGCCGTCAGCAGCAGTGCAATGCTTTTACATTTAGATTTGGCTTCTTTCACCTGCTTCTCTGACAGGCTCTCGCTTCGTCGGAGCCCTGTGGAAGGAATCAGAGTGCACGTTAAATTCATGCGGCCCACGAAACTGCAAGGAGACTAACAAGTGCATTTTTCTGTACTGAAATATATTAAATATGAAAACCTTTATTTTGTATGGAAAGTTCATTATACTTGAGTTTTTCTCACAGTATCAGCTGCGTTATAAATTCCATACCCAGCGTTCCTTGGAGACACACCCATCTAACTTCAAAGGCTACATAATTTTCTTTAGGATTGTCTTAGCTCAACAGGAACATTACACATGTCTTTATTTCTAGCATTCTTAATTTTTATTCCCAGCACCAACTGGCAGGTGTTATTTTCTCATTTATCCAGCTTCTGGTCTGGTATTTTCCAAGTATTTCACTACAAGTTCCTAGGCTTACAGAAGACATTCCCAGCCAGGCAAGCCCATGACTGCTTAATATGTGAGACAAAATGAGCAGATTCTGTTTCACAGTGGCAGCAGCTTCTGCCATTTGGGTGCTTATTTTACTCCTATAAATTGCAAACTTGCTAAAAGTCAATATTTTACTGTGTCTTAGCTGTTTAAATGCAAGTATACATCCAGAAGGGCATACACAGAAAATACTAGCATTAACTTTCAGCCCCTTGGTAAATGTGGGAGTTTGTCCATGGTATGCAATGAAAGCAGGTTTCAGTCTTTAAACAAGCATTATTTGCCTGAAATACGAGTTCTGTTAGATATGACATATACAGGATATTTATTTGGGAAATGGGGCAAGAGTTAATACAAATTTAAGAACAGAACCAAGGAGACTCAACTAACTTCTCAAAGGTATTCACTGGAGTATCAATGTCAATATTTCTGAAAGCACAAACTTCTGGTTTTCATCAGGTCATGTGAAAGAGGAACAGATGCAGCACTGGACATCAGTGAGACTTCTTCCTTGTAATGGGACATGGAGTGTGTGCCTCATGAGGCAATGGTAGTCAGGTGGTGTCCCTGCTGCTTTCCCTTCCTCGAGCCCTACCACTGAACCTCATCAATGACAGCTTTAATAACTCCTCCCTTCAAAAAACCTGGAATTTAAAGCTTTTCCTGACTAAATCAAGAGTCACGAGGAAAAAATGTGCCTCTGATAAAAATAAATTATTTAGTATCTTTTTTTCTGGCATAAATTAAACAAACTTTTTAAAGAAAGCCATGCCATGTGTTTTCTAGTCATGATCCTTTTAGCCATGTCAGTAGATGGAGTCTGATACTTCTCCTATTAAAGACAATTGGAGTTTTGCCATTATGCCAGATGACTGCACAACTGGACCAATGGTCCTCACAAGAATCTATAAAAGAGAAAAGAGCATGGCACCCAAACCTGCAATTCGTAATATTTTATTGTTGGAGAGCAGGATCACAAAATCCTTGGCTCAGTCCTGTGATAATCCAATTGCTTATGATAGTCACTGAAGGTATTTTCCAAAACTATGGGTTTTAGTGTTAGAGTGCTACTTATTCAGGTAAATATAATCTGAATAATATTTACAGAGAAAATTTCTGCTAAAGAGATTAAACACCCACAATAAAAGTTCTTCTCTGGTTCAGACTTAAATGCTGCATAACAACTTCTATTTTTGCAGAAAACATGTGTAGTATTTGCTGCACTAGGAACATTCACTGTGCTGAGCAATTTGATTTTTCTAATGTGTAGACACGTTAATAATAATAATAATAATAATAATAATAATAATAATAATAATGCAAAAATTGTATTAAATCAGTGGCTCCTAAGGATAATGACATGCCACTAGTTTAGAAGAGACTGAGATTGTCATAGCTGACATGGAAAAAGGACAGGACTTCTTCTTGAAAGAAGAGTTTACCATGTAAAAGTAGTTCATTCTTTGTACTTTTGCCTTTTAAGACAGGCACTGCAAGTAATTCCCTAAGAAATGCAGGCATAGTCCCACAGTTGGTTCTGACTTCACAGCCAAAATGTGAAGCATGTGCACTTTTCTTTTATACTTCATTTAATATGCCCAAAATATGTGGGTTGCATACAGACACTTAGGCATAAGTAACTGCCTAATCCACTTGCCAATGAGACACAAATGGTTATCATGCTAAAAATATGCTTCCAGAGGAATTAGCAGTGGGTTAGCAGAGGAGTTCCAACACTGCATATGAAATAGTTTGTTGCTACAGTATCTCACTGCACACATTCAAGCACCTTTGACATACTGCTACTAAATCCCCAGACAGGATTCTTCACATTGCTGGGAAGGAGCAAGCAACCAATAGAAAGGTCCCAGATGGATAAAATAACAAAGAAATAAATAGATTAATTAATAAATAATACACCTCTACAATCAGTTAATCAATATTGGCTCCAGTGGCAAGTTTGCTTCCATGTAGACTTCTTGGACATTTTGAAGCTGACCTCTGGGTCTGGGAGTCAGGAGAAATAATATGTTCACTTTACAGTCTAGAGAAGGCTGACAAAACCAAAAGGATCATGTAACAGTTGTACACATGCTGGTGTCTGTCAAAATCTCCTCTGCAGACATCAAGCTTTGCTGCTAGACTTTTTTATTAACTTTCCAAAGCAGTGGCATGGCTTTGGTTTTATATGATGCAAATGACAACACAAAGCTTTTGCTATAAAAGGAGAAAGCCACAGGATTCACTTAGACATGTGCAAGCAACTTGCTCTTTTTGTTAATATTTTACAGATTGCCACTGAATATGAGTTAGAAGACCAGCAGAGTTCAGCCCTTTCAGTAAGTATTTTTAGTTGAACAAAGTCATGAGTTAATTTCAAAGTGGAAGTCTACTGAGCAAAGTTATTCAACACAGTTAAGGCATGGGTACACTCTTGGCTCATCACCAGGAGCATTGTATTAACCTGAAAAAATACATAAAGCAAGAACAGAAACATCATTTAAAAGAAAAAGAGAGAGGGAAAGTTAGAAAACTGCAGAAAAAAAATCTCTAAACATTTTTTTTCTAATGCATTCTAAATCCTGAAATTATGTCCAAAGCTACAAAAGATGCCCCCAGGCAGTGCAAATGATTAGATGGGACATACTCACTTGCGTGCCTTGCCCTGTGCTTGAGAGGTCTGTGTTCCTTTTCCGAGTGCTTGCTGTCTTCTCCCTGCACTGTGGCTTCTGCTGAGATTGCAAAGGAGAGGAGGGAAGGAGGTGCTTCTGACTGCCCTCCTTCTACTTGAGAATCAACACACCCCCTTTCAGACGGAGACCTGGGCGCTTCCTTCTCCCTGTCCGAGCAGTCTAGGATCACCTCCACCCTGGGGATAGATGGAGCTGCACCTTGGATCCTCGTGACCTCCTTGCTGCTAGAAAAGTGGACTACTTTGTTTGACCACTGGATGTTGCCCTCCTTCACAGCCAGGGGAACTGCGATGAGGGGGCTGCTCCCGCCCTGCTGGGCGCTGGGTCCTCTGCCTGAAGGGGGGAGCTTTTCTGTCCCCAACAGAGTCACCGCAGGAGCACTGGTGGCCTTGTGGGCGTCATTTGAGAGGGACACCTGCAGCTCAACCACAGCACCTGGCCCTTCTTCTGTCGTCTCTCTGACACCAGCCTCGTCTGTCACGATCACTTTGGGGGTGCCTATCACTTTAGGAGGAACTCTGTGGCTTTGTGTGGTCTCTTGTTTTGTTTCAGCAAAGTGTGTGTTGCTTTCTGCTGCTCCGTGGTGAGTCCCACTGTAAATCTCTGTGATGCATAAATCTCCATGGGGTATCTCTTGCGCTGTGTTCAGTTGCAGGGTGGTGTTCTCCCCATAATCCTCAATTTTTATGTTCTCGTGCTTCCCATTTTCTCTTTCAGTGTTCAAGGTTTCATTTATTCCACTGGAGGATCTGCACATACATAAACAATTCAAGAAATTAAGCTTCTGTAAACACAGCCACTGCAAAATCAATTTCTGCATAGTATTTCTCCACCCTAATTAATTGTGGCACCTTCTAGCAGGTCCACTTAAATAGAAGAATTTTCCCAGAATGTAGACGTCTTAAATAGAAGCATCTTTGTATCTTTGAAAATTTTTCAACTTAGCAGTGCAGTAAGAGGCAAATTACATTACTCTGGTAGAACTATGACCCCACTACTAACCTAAAATGTGGAATTGTATCATTCTTAACATCATGTGCTTTCACAGACACATTTCTGTTATAAATTTCCAGAGAAATGCTGCTGAGACTTTTGAGACAATACTTCATATTTCACATGTCCATGAGAAAATTGACTTTGTATGACACAACAGGAGTGGTTAATTTTTGGCTCTGTAGCCACTACTGCAACTGTTTTAGGCACCATCCTTACATGTGGCTCCTGTGCCAAATCATTCACACTCTAAGGAATAGAAAAGTAATGAATAAGGATCAGAAGGAAGGAAATGAATATTTGAAATATACATTCAAAGAATTCCTGAGAGGATCATCATCATATTAGGGATTAGTTGAAATATTCTGGGCCTATTCTGGTGAGCCAGCAAAAAAGGGCAGTGAACCTATATAATATTTCCTACCTATTTAAAAATATACTATTTTCAACTGGAAAATGTTGTTCTCACTTACAAAACCTACAATATATGTCAGTGTAGCTCCTTTTTCTAAACTGTTAATTCCTCTGGCTCAGTTATGATGATTTACTGCTCTTAGAACACCTGGTGTACTTTTAGCACCTTCTTTCAGTACTCTGGACCATATTGAGTGCTATTCATTTGAGGAGAAACGTTCTCTGTACAGCAAGGCTGCAGCATGACATTAAGAGTTTCTTAAGAGTTTCTATCTGCTAGAAGGTAGCAAAGCACTTTTTCAAATGAGGGAAGTGGTAGGTGTCCTCAGTAAAGTATTAATATCAAGTACTATAGAGGTTTTTGAAATCAAAAGCAGCCCTGGCTATTCTGAAGCTTTGGAACCTCCCAGAAATAAAGGTTGGAAGAAACAGCAGAAGGAATGAATCTGTCAGAGTGCTGAAGAAATTTCAATATCGCTTGCTTTTCAGACATGCAGCTTACTGCTTGTGGCAGCCTGGGCCTGCCTCAAATAACACAGGGGTGTAACATCCATTTCACCACATATGGGGCTTGGTACAGGTCAGACAGATTTTAATTTAGGGAGTTCCTTGTGAGTGCTGCTGGATCCCATCGGACGGTGCTGTTTGGATGATCAATTGTACTGCTCTCGAGCACAGATAAATTACAGATCTGTAAACATTTCCTTGTAAGATATGGACTGGGGGCTGGGCCAGCTAAATGTTAGCCTTTATTGGTAGTTGAATGATTGTGTGTATGTGTGGGAGAGAAAGATTTCCACCTTAAAAGGCCCTTGCTACATATGGATATACTTCTACTCTATATAGACATAATTGTGTATCTTCTGTCAAAAGGCAGAATGCCAGGTTATGATTTCTTTATTGTAATTTCAGATTCTGTTTGTCAAATGATTGTTTCTGTTTCAGGCCTTTCAAGCTCACTGCAGGAACAACAGCCCTGGTGCAATTCCAGGAAGGAAGCAGAACTCCTGGAGTCAGCATGGCAGGGTTTGTCACAGGCTCATGTTTTTCCTCCCTACATGGTGTATTTCATGTTGGCATGCACTGAGCACTCCCTTCTTCCCCCTAGAAATGTTCTCTCCAGGCTCAGCAGCAGCCCAGGAGCTGCTAACCCTGATGTGAGAAGGCCAGGCTGGTGTTTTGGTGTGTGTCCCCTCTCTCCATGTTTCCCGGATCCATGTGCTCAGCATTTGCCGGGAAGGTCAGTGCGATGCTCCCCCGCACGGCATCTGGGAGTGCCCACCCTGCAGGGTGTCCTTTCCTCTCATCCTGGAAACTGAGCACTTTCTGGGCACTGCTGTGCTCACTAACTCACTGTGGCTGACATGGCATTGGGAAAACTTTTGTAGACATCAAAGGCCAAGTAGCATTTTAAAAACTATTTTTAAAGCCCAATTTTCCTCCCAGTAAGATCTGTAAGAGCAAAATGAGGTCAGCAATTAATGTCTGTGGAAATCTATCCTTCATGCAAAAAAATTCAGGGACTTTCCAATAGCAAAAGATACTTAGATATAAAGATCACCAGTGGAATGCCACTTAAATTATTTTTTCCTCATGCTTTCCAGCATTTTCTTGAGGTGGATGTTAACAAGTGGCTACTCAGGAAAGGAAGGATTTGCTTGTCATTGCTCTCAAAGGATGCTAAGACACTCCCTGAAAAATCCTTCTGGGGGTAGTGCTGAGAGGGATAGTACCCACAAACGAGGTGGAAGTGGAAGAGAAGTGTTTCAGTCCATTCTCCCATACCTGAGACGATATAGACAGCAAGGACTGGGATTTGGGAGAGATGAGCTGATGAGAAGTTTAAAGAATCTCACAGTGAATTTCTTTAGGACATTTTAGTCATTTTCAGAGTGTTGAGCAACTTCAATTTTCCTAAAATTTCTGTCATGGTTTAATTCCATGAAACACTGAATTATATTGTGTAAACACTGTTTTGGTTCTGATTTTCAGGACATGTCTTGCTGTTCACCATGCATTCTAGCAGGGGCAATGGAGAATCCCTTTCAGCTGCAGCATCCTTTGGCCTTCAGACAACTGAAATATCAGTTATGGAACAGCAACAGGCAGGAGTCAAAGTATGTGGAGCTATTTCTATGGCTGAAGAGAAGACAGCTGGTCAGCCACAAATATCATTCTTACAAGTGCAGCTCCAATAGCCACGTTATGAATTAAAAGCAGAAGAATGCAGCTATCACGTGAGGAACACTCAGCTGCTCCCCTGCTGAACCAGGAGCACGAGCTGTGCACTCTGGGGAAGGTAAGCTCAAATCCTCAGCTACCACTGTCCCCCCGATCCTGTCACAGTGATCTATTACTCAGCCCCAGACAACACGTACACACGGGCCATGCAAAATGTCTGTTAGAAATAAAATGTTCCTTGAGAACATGTAGTTTTGAAGACAGACTGTCACTTTGAACTGCCAAACACTGGAGGAAAGCTCCTTTCTCCAGGTTGCAGGAACCATGCGGAATTTCACATACTGCATAGACATGCCTGGTAACCAGAGAGAAGTGCCTGTTTTCAGCCTTTCCAGGGACACTGCTCTGGTAGCTGTCATGGCTAATTCTGATCCTTTCCTGGTCCTGTCTGTGAGAGGGATCTGCAGTAGCTCTGGGGGGAGCCTTGAGTCCTTACAAGGAGTGTGGGAGTTTCAAGACTTTTCTTCCTCTTCTTACCCCCACTGAAGGCAACTCAGAGTTCATCCTGTCTGAATTCACAGTCTGGGGACAATGTGCTTTCCCGTAGGTGGCTCTGAAATCAGGTTGCCTTTATTACCCTGATGGCAATTACAGAGCAGACATTGGAATAGAGTCTGTTCAGTGAGCAGTAATGCTGGCCTGCTTGCAAGTTTGCATGAAGCTTCTCTGTTCTAAGAAACTTAAAGCATTTTCAAAGAAAACTGAAATTCCCTCTCACTATTTTACAAAGGCAGAAACTGAGAGCCAGAGAGCTGTGACTCCCCCCACCTCATCTAGTGAGGTGATAACAGCTACAGAAATAGAATTCATGACTTCCAGACCCTCTCCTCCTCCTGACCACTAACACATTTTGCCACCCAAGAAGACCATTTGCCATGTCATCATCAAGGCATATCTGGGTAGCACAGTTTCTCCATCTATGCAGCCTTTGTTTAATGTAAGCCTCACTTCCCTATCTGTGGGGAATAACAACACTTCACTGTTTCAAAGGGGTGCAGAGAATAACTGAACTCAAGGCTCTGCAGTATGCATATATGGTAGTAGACACCTTGCAAGTATTAATACTTACATTTGGAGACTGTACTATTAATTCTGTGCCTGACTGCTGCTGTTCAAATTATATACATTAATTCCTTCAGCTCAAATTCTCTGTCTTCCTTTTCCATCCAAGCAGAGTTACAGACATTACCAACAGGACTATCAGAACCTCCCAGTATAAGTCTGCAAAACGAGTGGGTTCAAAGCCAGCATTTTCCAGGTGATTCACTGAATTGTACCAAAGCATCCTGAGCATTCCTGTACCTCTTGATAAGCATCTGCAGGACGTCAGTCAGGCTTTCCATCAGAACAATGACTTCAGCATAGGTTAGGTCTCCACAAGGCTTGCCATTGATAGACACCACCTCATCCCCCTCACACAGTCCAGCCTTGGCTGCTTTGCTTTTGCTGCGAACCTACAACAAAAGAAAAATTCCAAACTGTCAAAGAAAAATTCCAAATTGCACAATTAGTGTTCATTTGAAAACAGCAGCAACCATGTCCTCAGCATACTTTTTGTCTGTGCAAAAGGATCAATAAGATTGATCATAAACAAATTTACGGTAACACAAATTAATAACTTGTCTCAGTTGAGGTTAATACTGTTCTGCCCAGTAATAATACAAAACCTTCTGCTTTGCTGAGCTTGTGAGCTAGGTATCAAACAGGCTGGATGAATTCTTTTAAAACTGGGAGACATGGAAGTTTGGGACAGACAACAGTCCATTGATCACAGTTTATCAGAACTGCAAAAAATGCCCCATTAGTTTCTCTGAAAATGAAGACTACTAAGAGCTGAAATCAGCACTGAGACTGTAAAAGATGAGTCTGTAAATTCAGGCCTCTCTGCATAGAGTATCAATATCTACATGCTGGTCACTTTTGCCTTAGATGCCCAGCTGTAGTTTTAGTCTCCAAACAATAGACATCTGCATCCCTGGAGCTCCTAAATCCATATTTAGTCATGTGAGTAAGTACCCTGATTTATTAAAGCATGCCAGTTATGGTCTAAACTTCCCTGTTAAGTTCTCATTCAAGAATTCTATGCAGCTCAATTTTTCAGTTTCACTCCTTTTTCCACTGGCAGTGTGTTATAACTTATCACAGTCTTTGCATAACAAAATCCAGACAGCTGTAACACCACTCAAGGTATGCCTACAGTTGATGGCTATTTTTGAAGTGTATATTTGGCAAAGATTGTGTTATATTAACCAGAATTCTTGCACAAGTCTATTTTAGAATGACATATACACAAAAAAGGCTGGCCTTGAGTTCTTTGAGCTCAATCTTCTACCTGTTGGTGTGAGTACCTTGGCCTTATACCACATCCACTTGCTCATTCAGCATGTTTCGCTTATTAATTCTCATAGTGTTTTCTTGAAAATTTTTAGAGAAATAGCATTTCTACCACACTCACAGTAGCAGAGTCAGTCCCTACTCACTGTAGAAAAGCGACTTTTGGTATACTCTGGACCTGAGGGTGGAACTGCCCCACAGAGTCATGGAATTGTCCCAGGTTTTCTATTGAGCTACTGGGCTGGTACCTAAGATGCAGTTCAGCAAGGAAGTTCCTTGCAGTCAGGATGCTGTGGAGCACAGCAGTATGACTGCACATTTTTCTGTGGCAGGGCCACCATATCTATCTCTGCTGTTTCAATTTACACATTCCCATATGTCACATTATGGCTCTTGGAGCGGCGAAGGAACAGAAGCCTGGTGCATACAGAAGCCACTTTCTACCTTGCAGAGTTAACATTTACAAATATGGAGTGGTATGCTTCTCTGTTTATCTCCCCTTGGACAAGAGCATAAACATCCATGTGCCTTGGGAAGAAGTGACACTTTAGACAGTGTTTAGAAGGTTTTGCTTCATATAAGAGCTAGAATTTGGGATGAGGTTTAGTTACTGTCTTTTTTTAAATAGGAAGGTATACTATTAAAATTTTACAAGACGTTCTTGGCCTGAATGTAAATACTTAATGTAGATGCCATGAAGAATTTTGAGTGAGCCTTTTTCAGAAAATCTGTAAACATCCATTATATAAACCTGTGAACTCTGAAATAGCATAATGTGATACCTGGATTGTGAGAAGAAAACTTGTTTCTCTTTCTTTATTTAGTGTTTGAGGGACTCCTCGGTAGCATTATAAAAAAAACCAAACATATAAGGAGATTGATTTTCTTTTCAAAGTTTTTAAAAGGTTCTCTCAGTCCATTTTTTCTGCCTTGTGAACTGTTGAGAGATCACAATTCTGAGATATAGGAAACTGCATGCAAAAACACCCTCCCAAATTCCCAAATTTGAACAATGTCTATACAAAATCACCCCAGTATTAATATTTTTTTTGGTTTTTTTTTTGTTTGTTTGTTTGGGTTTTTTTTTGTTTTTGTTTTGTTTTGGTTTTTTTGGTGTTGTTGTTGGGGTAATCAAAGGGAAGAGAGAGCACCCAGAAGAAAATAGGCAGAGGCAGATTGCGTGGTAAATAGCAGGCTGATTTTAGGATAGAATATCCCATCATCAGTCATGTTATTTCAGCCTCAGCGTAACACCCACTTACACAACAATATGTAGACTGCTTTGCCAGGCAAGCTGTAATTGTTTCTGGCTTTGTTTATTTGTTTTCACTGGAAACCCACAAAAATGAATAAATAATTTACTCATGCAAACCAAAACTTTTCAGATTTCTGGGAAAAATAATATAAATAAATAAAGAAAGAAGACCCACCCAGAACAACAACAACAAAATTCCAAGAACATTTGTGGAAAGAAAGATCTCCCTGGTAAAATATGTGTTCAATGGACAGTTTTCTTTCAAAGTTTTGGCAGAAAGCCTTTGAGGAGCCCACTGGGAAACAAAAGCTGCTTTTGTTAACAGAAATGCAACTTGGCCACACAGGGAACTGTAAGAAACCTTTATCCAGTTCTTGGGGACTTAAGGCAAGGCACATTTGGTTGTAAAGCAGGAGAGATTCTTAAAAACCAGTGATTGCTTTTTCCTCACAGTGAAGCCCTGGCTTTCTCAGGTACTCATTTCTCCTATGTACTGGGAGTTGAACTTTTCCTGAGGAAGAAAATATGAGTTTTCCAACAAATTTTTTTGAATGGGATCTCACCACAAGAAAAATAAGTTTGGAAATATTTTCTTTGTTTTCTAGTGCCTGAAATACCAGTATGACACAGCAAAACTGGGCTGGTGCTGTTGGTGCTGAACCTGTCAAGATACCAGCTGCTAGTGGGCACCTTGAAGAGCTCCACCCCATTTTCAGCTGCTGCTGTCTCTATGGCTTTCCTGCTCCCCTCAGTCAGGACTCTTTATTATTCACATACCTGAAGTGTGTAATTTCTTTTTATTCCAAGATTTCTCCTGTATCTAGAATTTCCCACAATCAGGAGTGCTCTTTGATGATTAAAATGTCAAGTGTTGAGCAATTCCTCACATCCACAGAAATATTAAACTTAGGAAATACTGTTCCATGCTATGTGAAGAACTTAGCCTGAGTGTTCACTGTTATCTGAGCACTCCAGGGAATCCAGGACCCCCTGGCACCAGTTCAGAGGCAGCAGGGACTGGGGGCTGTCCAGAGGCTGCTCAGGAAGGTCTGTGAAGGCTTCAGGTGGGAACTGTGAGTGAGCAAGGTCTGGGTGCTGTGCTGGCCTGGTGAGACATCACCTCCCAAAGACACAGGTTTGTGGGGAAAGGGTGGGACAGGGACTTTGGTGGTGGCTGTGGGATGTTGCTGGGGCTGCAGCAGCCATGGATGCTCACAGTTCCAGTCAGTTTCTTAACCAGTAAAGAATAAATGGCTGCATACACAGTGGCTGTGCTCATGTGAGTGTGGGGAAAAGGTATTTTTAGAGAAAGCAAATGGGAGGCTCAGCCCTCATCCTGTGTACACTGTAGTGCTTTTAATTTAAACTAAATCAAATCTCCTTCTGCCAGCTGGTGACTCCTTCCCACATAACTAGATCTCCTTTGATTTAATGTGAAAGCACTCCAGTTACAACCCAGAACTGTTCCATGCTATGAAACAAAGTATGGTAAATCAGGAATAACTGAGAAACTTACTTCAAAAAATGTTATCCCCATGCAGCTAAAAAGCTGGAGTGGATGCACCTGTTACTTGCTGTGGCTGCAAGTGGATGCACAGACAGCAACTGGGACTCAGCTGACCAGCTGGTGCTTTTGGGTGCATGTTTGAACTCTATAATAAGCAGATCAGGGTTGAGGAATGTTGAACCTGGTAACAAGGTCAGTGAGGTGTAGTTTAAAGTGAGGCAAATGGACTTGAGGACACTCTGCACTCCAGGTTCTCTAATGGCACAGTGAGGAATTATCAGGATTTCTCATCATGTTTTCATCATCTGTACCAGTGTTTTTTGTTAAGGATGATGTGTATCTTAATCTTGTCCTGGAGTTAATTTATTCTGCAGCCAGGAGTACAAACTTTTATCTGGGACATGTGTCTAAGTGCTGTGCATCAGGTATAGCCTGACTGAGCAACCAATCTGACAAACTGAGCAATATGACCATAAGCACAGTCCATTTAGCCTAAAATTGTATCTAATAAAATAAGATTATTAGCTTTAAAATATACATATATTTGCACAGCAAAATTCTGAATTTAAAGCAAGCTTTCCAAAACCATGAGTTATTTTCAGAACTATTTACTCATCCTTTTTCAGTTTGCCAGCATCTTTTAAACAGCAGAACAGGAAATATTGCCACTGCCAGTGGAAATATCCTTCCCTGAATTTCAGGCACCTTGTTCATACAGACAGAGTAGTTTCTTTCATTGAAGGGTCACCTCTGCAAGAGCCTGTTCAGTTGGATATCCTGTCTGATTCCTGAAGCCTGATGTGAGCTGCTGTTGCCCCTCAAGCTGGTTTGAAGGTTTGAAGCTGGTTCCTGGAATGTTACTCACATATCTGTCCTCAGTGGTAGGTTTGGGTCTTTGGTGGCTGCCTTGGGTTCTGCTGTGATGAAATATGTTGCCCAAAATAGCAAGGCTTACCAGGCAAGGGACTTCTGTAGATCAGTTGTCCATCCTCATTATTGTTTACTACTTTAGTTATATCAACTTCAAACTTTTCCAGCAGTGATTTTTTTTGTTTTCTTTTAAACTGGTGATTAAACATCAACAGCAAAGGCCATGTTCTTTGGCTACTGTTATGCCCTTACTGAATAATGATTCCCCAGATTAATGTTACCTTCTCAGGCCCAACAACTAGCCAACTTTAAAAGCAGTAATTTTTACTACAGTAGCAAACTCTGCCCTCTGATGTCTTGTTGTTATCAGTAATACAGAAATATGTTTAATACGTTTCTATTAAATAGCCTTTTTTAAGTAATCATTAACTTAAATCTTGGGATTAGTACCCTTACTCTGTAGAACTAACTAACTATGAAATAATAGAGTGGCATTGTTCAAATGTGCCTTGTGTTGAGGTTTTTTTAATTGTTCTGTTGTATTGCCAGAGATAAGAAATGGTAAAGAAGCAGAGAAGATAGGTGTCAGTATGCTTGCTTGCTGACAGAGTGACAGATAGTACTACAAGTGAAAGTACACAAAGTATAGTGGAACCCAGCTTTGCCACTTAACTAAGTACAAATTAATATGGTAACTAAGTACAAATTAATTAATAATAATTAAATTCATCTGGCTAACATGTTTCTCTTAAATATGTTTTGAGGCCAGCATAAATAAAGTAATGTATTCACTACTTAGTATAATTTTATCAGACATTAGGTCATGCTTTCCAGAAGTTATTTTTCCTCATTAATTGATTAGCTAAGTGTTAGTCATGCAGTTCAGGATCAGGGATCAAAGATCAGTATTTCCTGTAGACAGTATTTTTAAAAAATCTCAAAACCCACCAAAAAAGGCACTTGATCTCTTCTGTTATAAACCCTAGAGCAAGGGCAGTGGCTGGTAAATGTATTTGAAAATATTTTAAAGTTATCTGTCGCTCTAAAAAAATGAACAAAACTTTGCTATGAGAAGGAAGCAGAAGCACTCAGAGTGACAAATGTTAGTGTATTAGTAGTTTGACTTGTATGAAGTTAGGGAATTAAAAATGAAGTTACAAATCAAATTAATTCAGCCACAGTTTATAAATAAGGCTCTAGGGCCTTGTTTGGCAATGATTATGCATGTAGGAGTCCTTTACACAGAAAAGTAGCCTTCAGTTAGTGAGCTTTTTAGGGGTTAGATATGAAGGACTTTACAGTAAGTTAAGCCTACCTCCTAATGTGCTTGGGTTTTTTAGGGATCTTCGTAGATCCTTTAAATAGCTCAGAGACTCCAGGCTGGTAAACAGTGCTATTGCTAAATGAGAGGGGTGATGAAGGGACAAGCTCACATCCCCTTGTTTTCTGCATGGTTTCTGGAGGGGATTTCAGTCAGGTTTACAGTGAGAACATCCAAATGTATTTCCACCTTAACGCTTTCTTCCCCATCCCCAAGCACTGTCATCACAAGTTATAATGTGGGCTGTAAAAATAATAAGTCTTAAGGAAAAAAGTGCCTATAAATGAGGAAAATTGGAAGACCTTTGTGTTCTTAATTTTCTGTTTTACTATGTATATAAAGAGAAAGTAGCTGTCAGTAGACAGATAGCAATGTGCAGACAGGAAAGAGTCATTAGATCTTCAGGGAGGGAACTGGTGCCACTTCTAGATTTAACTGAGTAATTGTAGCAGAGGAGTTCCTTGAGAGGTTTTAAAAGCCATATAATTAGGAAATATTCATGCCTAGAACTTTTGCTTTACATCCACATAAATTCATTGGAAATAGCAGGTTCTGGTCTAAACTGAAGGCATTTTTGGCAGCGCAGGGCTCAAGCTTATGGATTGCATTTTAAGCAAAATTGGTAAAATGCTGTTGAGGTAATAGTGTCAGTGATGGAGCTGGAGTGGGATAATTTACCTGGGTGTAGGTACTCTGTATACAGACTCCACGATGGATGCATGCATTTTACTCTTATAAAGGGCCTCTTTAGAGCTGGCATACCAAGTTTTAGTCTGCTTTCATTAGCCATGCCTGTACTTGAGCATGAGTCTGCTGCATGATGTGGCTCATGCTATTTGCATCTGTGCTGCCTGGAGGTGACTTTGCGTCAAGCTGATTCCAGTTCTCATCCTCTCTGGACTGAATTTCTCTACCAGATAAGCAACTTTCTTTCACAATCAGTCAGGGTAAAAGCCACAAAGTAAAAGCTTCAGACAGGGCATGTTCCCTGGGATTGTGAGATCCAACTACTCCCCAGCTCTTCTGAATATATGGGAATGCAATGAGGAGCCTTGCCCCCGAGCTAAAGCTCAAGTGCTGTGACTTTAGCTACTATAAATATAGATAATATGAATAGAGACAGTGTGAGTATAAACTACTTTTCTATATTTTACCTTGAAGTCTCTGTGTCCCCTCCTTTGCGGATTGTATGCAGGATTTACACAGTAAGTAGTGAGACAATACAAATGCCTGTTAATTAACTGGGTTAAATAAAGATGTTTCTAAGTTATCTCCCAACCAGTTTTTCTGAGAGGAAGTTTTGAGTAATGAAGTATCTTTGACTAGTAAGGTAAGCACAGAATATTTCCTCTCACCAAATTCTTCCCAGTAGCACGACAATGATATTGGGAATTGGGCAGTGCAGCCCACCCTTTTCTCCTTCTGGTTTACAGGAAACCTTCTAGAGACATCCACTTTCATGTGTCTGTAAAGGTAATTATCTTTCTAAATGGGTTATGAGACAAAATAACATTAAAAACATCAAAGGAGAAAATTAATATATCCAAACATAGTTTTATTATTAAATGTTCAAAAAGCCTTTCCAGAAGGGGAGGTAGGATAGCACTCTTTGAATGCACATGAGTGCTACCATTGATTATCACTAAGATCATCATGGGAAAAATTGAATGATGGTATAACGCTATAGTAGCTTATGGCAACACAAGGCAACACACACCTAGGATGCCAAGCCACATAAAAAAAAAGGTACTTTTGAACTTTAAAATCTGTGGATCCCATTGCAAAGGTTCTGGCTTTACTTAGCAACTCACAGCTAAAGCAGACTGTTAATCACGGTTTGCTCATGTAAAAGTTCATGGGACATTCTTGCAGAGGGGATATGGTACCAGGAAGTCATAGGTTCACTTTTTGGTTAAGTCTGTCTCCAGTTTTTCTGCTGCACTGTACATATGAAATCATACTTCTTGATTCTGGATCAGTTCAGTGACTGTTGTCTCCTCCTTCCCACAGGGTCAGAAGTACTTACATAAAGGTTCAGTTCTTTGCAATGTCTATTTGACAAATGCAGTTTGGTAGAACTTCTTGCACATTCTGTTGTGGGAGGGTTAGGAACCTGTTTGGCCATTTATATATTGACAGAGCACTTGTGCCATTTGGGCCCACGGACCAGACTGATCTCAGTGAAAAGAAAAGCCTGCTCAAATTCCCAAAAGCCTTGCCTAATGTACTGGTGTATCATCTTACTGGCGGTTGCCTTTTTCTGGCAGAAATCCAAAGTTAGCAGCTGAAGAAGAGATGAGATAATGACCTCTGAAATATTGATGTGGTATGCTGGCGACACAGCAGATTTCCCAACAGTGAGCTTGGGTGTACAGCACTTCAATCTGCTGTTCATTTTGTACAGCAGATCCAGTGCATAGTCCTTCTTGGAGTGTACCGTGGCATACTTGTAGTTGATGTGTCAAAACCAAAATGTTGTGCTGCTTCACCTTTTTACAGTGAATTTTTGCTACAGTGGAACATGTGACAAGGGGAGGAATGATGCTATAGCTTTTCAGTATTGTATATGTGCATTGTCTGCTCTATTTCCATTCCCCTTTCCTTCTTGCACTGCTTGAGCAGTGACTGGCTGTATGCTTCCTGCCTTATTTCTTATGTCCTAACCAACTTGATCTCTCCATGAGCACTGTAGCTATATTTTCATTTCTTCCTTCCCACTGCTCCCCATGCAGAGAGATAATTGCATTGTCAATGCTTCTTTGGGATTGAGAAAATAATGCACTTTTACTGAGTGCTTTGGTATAAAAGAAGAATCAAAAGTCTTTAGCTGCAGTATACCTTATGTTCTGGAGAATAAATAGAGATCTAAAATGTCTTTATTATCTGCTCCTGAACAGTTGGAGGCAACAAGAGCTACAATAGACAGTTCATGTGATAAGTATATCCACAGCCTAACCTGGGGCTGAGCTCTTGTCACTGATGAGTAGAGGAACTGCAATTTGTACAGTCCCAAGACCATACACTGGGAATTTCCTGTAGGAAAAGGGATACCTTTCTTGTACCAAAATTGCCATCAAAGCACAAGTAAATGAAAGGTAAAAAGCAAAACCTGCTACCTGAAAGTACTTACCTGCTGGAGCTGCTAAGAGAATGATGGTATGTAATATATGCATACTGTCACAAAGAGAACATTTCTAGCCTAGACTTGGGACTGCTGGGAGAAACAGCAAAGGTATGTGAGAGTTAACTGAACCCTTCAGTTTCT